CGGTGCTTAGATGGGGGTGGGGTCCTGGGGGGCAGTTAGGGGCAGGGGTGATCAGGGGACAGGAGCAGGGGGAGTTGGAGTTTCTGTGGGGAGCAGTTGGAGGGAGTGTATGGTGGCAGGGTGGGGCTACCCTCCCTCCCTGTGGAGTGTCCTATTTTTTTAATTTTAAAATATGGTATCCCTACTCACAGTGCAGCTCTCCATTCACAGCAGGCTGCAGCATGAGGTCTCAGCTTCCTCACTCCCTCCCCCTCTTTCCTGTTGGTAGTGGCCAAGGGAATGCTGGGACATGTAGTTCTTTCCCTGTTCCAGGGCTGGCTCTATAGGCAGGGAGCTAACCAAGGAACTACAGCTCCCAGGACCCCCTGTTGGCTCTCAGCTCCCATGCTGGATCCCTGCCGACCCTGCAAATGGGCTGCCCCAAGCACGTACTTGCTTTGCTGGTGCCTAGAGCCTCCCCTGTTCTTGCTCCACTTGTTTTTCCCCTGCCAGACTGTTTGGGTTAAATTTTCAAACAGTAGCTTGTAAAGAGGCAAGTACAATTGTGCACTAATAATTATCTGATGTCCAAGTTCTCACACATATAAAAATCTCAGAATTGGGCACGCAAACACAGAGTCATAGAATCACAGAACTGGAAGGGACCTGGAGAGGTCATCTAGTCCAGTCCCCTGCACTCAAGGCAGGACTAAGTATTATCTAGACCATCCCTGACAGGTGTTTGTCCAACGTGATCTTAAAAATTCCCAATGATGGAGATTCCACCACCTCCTTGGCAATTTATTCCAGTGCTTAACCACACTGACAGTTAGGAAGTTTTTCCTGCCCTTGCTGCAATTAAAACAATTGCTTCTTGTCCTATCCTCAGAAGTTAAGAACAAAAATTTTCTCCCTCCTCCTTGTAACAACCTTTTATCTACTTGAAAACTGCTATGTCCCCTCTCAGTCTTCTCTTTTCCAGACTAAACAAACCCAATATTTTCAATCTTCCCTCATAGGTCATGTTTTCTAGATCTTTAATATTTTTTTTTTGCTCTTCTCTGGACTTCCTCCAGTTCGTCCACATCTTTCCTGAAATGTGGCTCCCAGAACTGGACACAATACTCCAGTTCAAGCCTAATCAGCACAGAGTAGAGCAGAAGAATTACTTCTTGTGTCTTGCTTACAACACTCCTGCTAATACATCCCAGAATGATGTTTGCTTTTTTTGCAACAGCGTTACACTGTTGACTCATATTTAGCTTGTGATCCACTATGACCCCCAGATCTCTTTCCACAGTACTCCTTCCTATGCAGTCATTTCCCATTCTGTATGTGTGCAACTGATTGTTCCTTCCTAAATGGAGCACTTTGCATTTGTCCTTATTGAATTTCATCCTGTTTACTTCAGACCATTTCTCCAGTTTGTCCAGACCATTTTAATCCTATCCTCCAAAGCACTTGCAACCCCTCCCAGCTTGGTATCATCCGCAAACTTTATAAGTGTACTCTCTATGCCTTATCTAAATCATTGATTAAGATATTGAACAGAACCGGACCCAGAACCGATCCCTGCAGGACCCCACTCAATATGTCCTTCCAGCATGACTGTGAACCACTGATAACTACTCTCTGGGAATGATTTTCCAACCAGTTATGCACCCACCTTATAGCAGCTCCATCTAGGTTGTATGTTTGTGCCAACCACCTTATTTCTAAACTTTAGCAACAAAAACTAAGATGACATAAGATGAGGGGTTTGCAAACCCTCCTCCATCCTTCATTATTATTATCATAGATTCCAAATAGCTGGCAGCTTTCTGTGCCTGTCATAGTTTTCCTTTGAAAACAAGATGCACAAATTAAGTTGCCATTGGGGCCAACAAGTTTCCATGAGAAACACTTGTTATTGATATTGCTCCAGGGTCTGTATAAAACCAGCTTCTTTGCTGAAGGGAAGCAGTGGCAGCACAGCCTTAGGACACTGGCTGTTTCTGGCTCATTGATGGGAGAGAGTTGCATGCTGGGTATTATGGGCCTGGTCCTGACGTCATTTATACCAGCTTTACACCAATGTACTTCTAATAGAATTACTCGGGATTTATACCAGTATGAAATCAGAAATCAGGCCACTTGTATTAGGAAGAGGGTTTAAAGAGGCTGGAAGTGTTCAATTAGGTTGTGGATTTGCAGCCTGTGGCCTATTAGTCCTGTTCAGCTACTGGGACACTTGGAAATTGCCTTTGAGCTTTGCAGTACCCATTGGCCTTGACTTTTATTACTCTGGTATAATTGAGGACTAAGTATATTGAAGTCATTGGAGTTATGCTGAGGTAAATCCATTCTGTGAGAGAGACAAATCAGCCAATTACGTTTATGCTATCCATAGATGAATGTCTCTAGAGAAGCCTTGGCAGAGACACTGCTCCCGGGAACTCTGTTTTAGGACAGGGTCCAACACTATTGGAGAAGCAGTTACAAATAGTAGTTCATCTGTGGTAGCTGCTAAACCATCCGTTTAAATAATGACTTAGCCCTACCTGCTCTGCTATCAGTTTAGAACTTGCTGCTGTTGGAATTTTAGAAATTCAGATCTCCATGAAAACTATTCTGTTTGCAATCAACTCCATGGGGATCCTCTTGGATGCCAACATTGAAGAATATGGCCCCAGGTTGGTTATACTGGAAACAACATTTGAGACTGTGCAGGATAATTTATGAGTGAGCACCACCCCCGAGAGCTTTAAATCTGAAATTGAGTCAGTTAAGTCAGATTCATCCTTAGTATATCTTACAATTTTTTTTTGCCTACAAAAGTAGGAATTTTAGAAAATCAAATACATGTTTATTAATAATCAGAGTTTTGAGGTTGAAGAGGGAATTGAAAGAGCGGAGACTATTTTCAGAGAATCGGTTATAACATAAAAAATTATTAAGAAGACAAGGTGGGAGAGGTAATATCTTTTGGTGGACCAACTTCTGCTGGTGAAAGAGACAAGCTCTCAAACTACAGAGGTCCCTGAAGAAGAGCTCTGTGTACCTCGAGAGCTTGTCTCTTTCACCAGCAGAAGTTGGTCCACCAAAAGATATTACCTCACCCACCTTCTCTCTTTAATATTTTGTGACCAACACGGCTATAGCAACACTTCAAACAAATAATTAAAACAACTTTTGATGCTCTGGTCTTTACTGAAAATGTATCTAGATTTTCTGGTCTTTTTTGAGTCCCACAACTGTATCTGATTTGACTGAGAAATAATTCTGGGATAGCACAGGAGACTCTCAATTCCTGAACATAATATTTTCATCTTTCTGTGATAAAAACAGGGTTTGGGTACCTGTGAAGTAAAAGATGCTTGTGTTCCAGGATGCACAAACCAGCCTAAGGTTAATATCTGCTCACATGCCTCACGAGTCAGGCGATCAGGATTTGGTTCATCTTCTTTTTGGGGCCTTAACGCAATCTACATAAGAGGAGATGACACTGTAGTTATTCAAAGTATCTAACATGCATTTGGGAAGTGAAAAATAAACTAACAATATTAACAGCATTAATAATAACAAGGCCATGTCTTGAATTAGGAATACTATTGCTGTTCTTTGTCCTCTCAAGTTTCATTTTCTTCTAGATAGAGTCAAATATGTGTTTATGGATTTTAATTTCTGATTATGCTCAAACATTTCTGGATTTGAGCTTTGTGGAGACCTGGAAAAATGAACAAGATCCTGATTCAATTAATGATAAGCCTGAAATACATGTTGGATGAAATCCTGGTCCCAGTGAAGTCAATGGTAAAATTCCTATTGACTTCATTGGGGCTTGGATTTTACCTGTTATTTTTAATCAGTTTTGAGTACTAGAAAGTATTTTCCTGAGTATGAGCCCAAATTCAGGGGCATACTTAATAGTTCCATTGGCATGGTGCCTCCTGAAGTGCCTAATGTTATACAAGTGCTTAAATACCTTGCTGACTCAAGGTCCATATCTTCAGTACAAGTAATCACTCTGATTGGAGAGAATTTAAGTGGTGCCTAGAAGAAAATAGTTGTCATGTGAACGTAGATTCCAAAGACCCTTTGTGGCTGGATTTATGTTTTTCATAATCCTGATTATCAAATTATTTTTAAGAAAAGAGTGGCATTAGGCAGCTTTCCATAAATAGTGGCTAATCCTGCAGCCCTTATGAATGCAAAATGCACGTTAAAGTCAGTGGGGATTTTTCCTGAGCAAAGACTGTATGACTTGCCCCTAATTTATGATTAATTGATATTCCTCTATTGAGAATTAAGATATAAATTGGGACACTTTTCTGATACCTATGAGGTGGATCACACATCTAATATCATCAGAGAAGGAAGAAACTAAAGCAGATCCATCCTCAGTGAACAAAGATCGGCAATTGAATGGAAAATGTAAAAAAAAAAAAAAAAAGTTAAAGCAAATGTAATATGTACAAATTGAAACTGCTCCTAGGCAGCCTTTATTTATACAACAGTCTCTCATGCAGGAGGCAACTCAAGTTCCCATAGAAAACAGAGATATTACAAGGATCCTGTTATGGTAAGAGTGAACTCTTTGGGAACAATGTGTGCACTGATGCGGCAAAAACTGTCTGTCATCCAAATCAGGCATGCAGCCCAGGAGGCTGTACCTCCTGATATGGTGATCAGTGTTGTGAAAGGCTCACTGTCATGATGTAGTGTGGCAGATATTCCAGTGGCTGCCCCACTTATCAGTTGGCAAATATTTTCATGTTCATAGAGACACGTATTTTCACAATTGTCCACGCGCCGTAGCATAATCATGGATTTCCATTCACTTTCCTGTGTCTCATGAAACTGTCTTAATCCCCATCTCTATAAAAATGGGGCTGTGAATGTCCAGGTTTAAAATGCATTGCTTTACTGAGTGCTAAAGAATAATTGAAGACAAATGCATACTAGAGAGACACTGCAGCAGGGCTGGCTCCAGGCACCAGGCAACCAAGCACATGCTTGGGGCGGCACCTGGTAAGGGGCGGTGGGGGGAACGCGACGTGGCATTCCGCAGGGGGGGGGGCGCTCCGGCGGCGCGGTGCTCGGTGGGGCGGGCAGGCTCCGGCGGTGCGGCATTCGGTGGGTGGCAGCGCGGGCGCGGCGC